ATGAGATGTTTCCTTCCTCCATATGTGTGCACTGACTCGTGGTATACATTACACATGACTAAACTGCTCATGTAGAACTAATATACAAACTTCGGAGTAAAACAAATAACAGAAAGGAAGATTTTGTGTCGATAGTGAGAAAGAAAGAGAAAAATCATCTTTCTTTGATGCACATATTACTATGGTGTCCATTATTGTTACCGCGTGTCTCCATACTTTCTAACTTGCGCCAAGCACGTCTATTCTCAGTTGAAACCCAAGTGTGAACTAAAGCTATGCACAATCATCCAAACAAGAAACAATTCAATTTAAAGGTCTACATTCTCATCATCATCTGCCTCATTGTGGCCGTCATATTCATACGGAAAATTTATTTTCGCACTCAAGATGAAACAGTTGGAGAGAAATTAGATGATGCTGTGGGAAAAGCGAAAGGCAAAGCAGAAGACAAAGTGAATGCAGCGAGACACAAAGCGAAAGATGTAGCTAACAAGGCACAAAAGAAGATTGGAGAGGTGAAGGACAAGCTATGATTAGTTCGATCAACATGTGTGCAACCGACCAACATGACATCCATTGACTTTGTGTTTTCTTCTCGCATTCATTAGTTAACTGAACAAAATATTGTAGTGATGTAATTTAATCAGGTATTCTACTTAAAGCAATATCGATAAACTAGGCACTTATCCACTATTTCTGATTTGAACACATGTCCTCACGATGAACCCTCCTGCTTTCAAGAGCTTCATCTGATTTGTGCTCTATAGAAGCAGTTTCGTATTAATCGATTAGAGCTATTTCGCTTCCACTACTAGTATAAATGGAACGCTAATTTTCTTTGAATATATATATAATATATATCGAAGTTATAACATTGAAATTTTTCTCCAGTATATAAGTAATCGAAACTTGTCTGGAGGGATTAGCCTTACTGGACGGACCTGTACTAGTGATAGTACCATACACCTGAGACTGGTAAACCATGGTTCAAAGGACGTCAGAAAATAATATTTTTTAGTTCATGATCAAAAAATAATGAAATCTGAAATACGTGCTGAAAACGGCCTAAAAACGATCCGTCGAACGCTCTCAGTTAAACAATGTAAAAACGGTGCAAAAACAGCCCGTTAACAGGACGTTTACGATCCGTTATCGACTCGTTGACGATACCGTTCTCGACGGCCTGGGATTGTGTATCGCTAGTTTATCGGAATGCATCAAATTAGACAACGTAGCGGCTGTTAAAGGATAGAAAATAGCTCTTATGTCTGAAAAAACTAAGTATGCATTCTCAAAAATTCCCAGATCCCAGATATATAAAAAGATAAATATCTATGCAATTCCACTATTTTGAAAATAAGTTATATAGCTGGTAGCTCGATTTATGCACTTGCTGATCTCATTAAATACGCATTCTTTACCCGATTAAAGTATTCGGGCACCTCAGGTTTGCTTTCAGTATGCATAGAGCACTGGGAAATTCAGTTAAAATTATGAAGTTTTCATATCTTTTGTAGTTCTAGGACACTAGAATATCTAACTTTCACAGTGCATACATAGGTTATAACAACGCGCTTGATTTTAAGACAAAAGAAGTAATAAAAAAGAACATAAATCAGTTTTGAAGATTACTAACAGCTTTAATCCGTTCACTTTTTTTATCTCCAGCAATTTCGATAAGGTCATGTTCTAAACGTATTTTGCATGGCTGGCGACCTGATGACTTGTTAAAACTTATCTGATGCTTTTGACTAGTTTTCTTAAAGATTCTCATTGAAATTAACTAAAGTTAAGAAGAGAGAAAGAACGCCATCTATCTGCCTGTATATTACTGGTTATCTTTGAAAAAAGATGACTCAGCTGTGCACAAACTACTTCATAAATTTGAAACAACGGAATTGCATAATGGATATAAAAAAGCGGAGTATATCCAAAAGCTTATCAAAATCCATCTTTGGTCGAATGTATCTCTTAAGAAACATGTTGCTCATACTGGATTTTGACGCTTTTAGAATATGCTGAATTTGTCCTCTGAAAGCGAATCTAAGAGCGCTTTTGCTGTTTACCACGAACAGCATCCCTACTCTTCGACCTAGAATCATATTTCAAGTGGTCCTGCTGTGTAAAGAGGGAAAACTTGTGCAGCATCCATTGATGAGAACGGCGGAGAGGAGCAGCACAAGACGTGAGAGTAAGCCACCTTATGAAATTCCTTCAGATTTGAGAAAGTCGAAATAGATCAAGATAATTGAAGCTAAAAAAACAATCTTGAGCAATAGTGTCAATTTAACACATTAAGTAACTTACTCAAGTTTCAAAATAATTGCATTTTAAGATAAATAAAAAAACTGAGGTTAAGTCAGATTTCTGATAAATGCAGATTTATTTAAAGCGCGTGCATTTTTTATTGAGAAAGCGCTAGTATTCGCATAAATTTACAATAAGAAAAGATGTGCAGATTATTTCAAACTTTAATCATGTTCATTGAATGTTTCATATAATCTCGATCTTTTAAGTTTGGACTTGTTTTCTGCAGAGTAATATTTGCATGTTTATCACTTGGTCGGACGTTAGTCATGAATCGAGTGAAAAATCCTTCAGCTGACGGTGTATCTGTTGGATTTTGTTGCAAGTAAGATAATATATGAGACTTATTTGGATCACAGTAACGTGAACGAGGCCGTACATTTTGTAACGATCGAACGCGTTTCAGACTTAACAAACCGGGTGTAAGTTGTGGTCGATCCGCTTGTAGTGGCTGTTGGGTCAATTCACCATTTTTTGATTTTATCAAAGCTATAAAAACAAATAACTTAAAGAATTACCGAAGCAATGCAACTATCTTGCTAATTTATACTCTTTTCATCACAGATAGAGTGCATGAAATGTGAAAAAGGCATTTTACAGTTTTTCGGATTTGAATAGATTCATCTTACCTGCATGGTGCTGATGGTACTCTTTTTCTAGTTGCTGTTCCTGTGATGACGGTCTATCATTGAGCACCTTTTTCTCAACTCTAAATCTATAGGCAGACGGTGGTCGATGCTTAACTGTTTCTTCTTTCAGTGGTATTGCTGGTTCTATCTGAACGTGAACGATAGGCTCACTCGGATATTGTTCAGCCACTTCGACTGCTTGCATGATAGTGTTGATATTATTCATTCCCTCACCACGATCGTACGATTGCTCGATATTTTCCCTTTCTCTATCCAATGGACCTGTCAGATGATCGACAAAGTCTCGCATGTACAAATCAGATGGCGCTTTTTCATTGTATTCCTGATCGTAACTAGTCTTTGTTTGAATTTGTTTCCATAAAGGATTAGTTTGTGGAGCAATAGCATCAGCCGCTATTCTATGTTGAGGATTGCAACCATATCTTGACGTGTTGTTCGATAAATTTCGAAGTTGATGTTCAGCTCGATATTGATCACGTTGTTCACTGTCATAAGAATAACATGCACGAGTACGCCAAAATGGACGAGATTTTGAAAAGGCCAAATTCATTTGAAAACCTTGAGGGATACCTAGAATAGAACACTGAACTTGAGTTCTATTAAAACAATAAAGTGATGTCTATCTCTTATCTTACATATATATTCTCTGTAGTTTTGCTATCACGCATCTTTCTGTTCAACATAACTTGTTCACTTACCTAAATAATCCGATCGATAGGTGGATGTTAACTGATTCTTAAGTGCTTGCTTTATTTGTTCTTGTTGTTCATGATTAAACTCATCTTGGTTATATGGATTGGCCTTGTTCGCCCCAGGATATTTCCAAACCATAAACTCTTGTGATGGATGAGGATTATTTGCTCTCGTGCCACTTGCAGTAGCAGTACGAATTGGCTGAGATCGACAGTACCCTTTGTTGGTAAATTGTTCTTGATAGTGGCCGATACCAATTGGACCATCCAGTTGATAAGGACAACCAATTGGATATTGTTGACCTTGGGGAACGTCGACTAAATTTTCATCTTGACACTGTTTAGGACAGAAATCTCTTTGATAACTTGTTAGATAATTTGTTGCTGCGGCAGTATGTGGCCGAACATGTAGAGAAGCTGATTTTGGATTGTACGATCGACTACGAATTAATTTTTGGGTAACAGGTGAAAATGCGTCGAATGTGGTGGCAGTCGATGGCCGATTCAGATAATGAGAACTACAAGGATTTTGAATTGACAGAGTTGAGTGATCGACTTTCGCCGACATGATTTGACTAAAGATAACAATAACAGAATTATAAGAGTGTCCTAGACGCATGTAGGTCTATTCTCAAGATGATTGGCTTACACTTTTAACTTAAATACAATATTATAAATATCATGTGTATAGTAAATATGAAAGAACGCTGTCGGTGCCAGGTATACGAACTGTTGCACTGTCCAGGGTTGAAATTGAAGAGTGAGACTGTTGACTATTCGCGTTTCATCTTATAGGACTTTATTAGAGTTTTGAAGTTGCTTAACAGCTAGCAGCTGAAGAGATTAGTATTGTAATTTTCTTGATCACTTACTTGTTCAATTCTCTCTGTCAATGTTTACTTGAGCTTTTGAAATTAGACGTTGTTGAAAAATAATTTTTTCTCTTTCCTTTTCGCTTCTAATTTCTGTTCTTTTTCATGACACTTGAAAAATCTTGTTTTAAACGAGACAGAGAGAGAGAGAGAGAAAGAGAGAAGGGAAGAAACAACAGTATTGACAAAATTTCCGTGACAACAATTGATGTTCTGCCTCTTGTGGCTAGATAGGTATTCTGTGACGACGTCAAAAAGTATAGAAGAAAGAAAAAGAGAATTTGTTAAAAACATTTGAATTAGTTTTCATATACAAATTGTTGAGCTATTCAATCATATTGTTGAAAACGAGAAAGAGAAAGAAAATATTTTTTATTACATTTCAGCTGTCTAATACAAAAGAAATAAAGCGACTTTAATCGTTATGTACTGCTTCCAGTAGAAAAATAAAATATTTAATGATTAAATTTAATATTCAAAGACTTGAAAAATGACAGAAATATTTGTGAATGTTGACATAATTCCATTCATATATGGCAGTAAGTGTTATAGAAAGAAAAGGAGTCTATGAAGAGATCGTATTTTATACATCTGATTACTTGACATCTATCGACATATATTTAAACAGCAAAAATATTTTGTGAAAAATAAAATTGACACGTGAATTTTTCCACTTTTATTTAACTTGATTGATCATGTAAATTTCTGTTTTTAAATGAATATAAATCTCGTGTATAAGTCATTATTTCTAGTATTGATAGAAGTTTTTAGTTATCGATCAATTTTGAAATGGAGTCGATCATCGTGGAATGGAAAAAAAGAACTTTTGAACTTTAATAAGTTTTTTTAAAAATTTCTATTTTCCGTACCGTATAGACAAATGATGCCATACTTTAGATGCACAATCAGTCTGCATCATCTTGAGACCCTTTCTTGATCGTTCATGATACTGTTGTATACTAAATCCCAAATTGATTATTATCCATCTCATCTGTTTTACTAAGTAAAAAAATAGGAAGAGTCTATATGAAAAATACAACTATGTGTATACATATCATTGAACACTAGGGATGTTCGGTTCTCGTGAAGAAATGGAACTGCGATTCTCTTATTTTCGGTTCTTCATCGGGAATCGGAACCGTATTACCGATTCTGACAATGGAACTGGAACCTCATTTCTCTTATTTCTGGTTCTTCATCTGGAACCGGAACCGCGCTTTCTTAGACGATTCCTTTTTTTCGGAACCAAGACTTTTTGACTTGCCTTTCTTTTAACAAAATGAAAACACACTATTGGCAGAACTACAAAAAGATGTATTTGCCTTCATCATTTGGAAGAATCCTTTCGTTTACTATAAAAAAAAATATATTTCGTTGAATTGCTACTGCTTGAAAAATTATTTTCCGGTTCTAAGCTGAGAACCGAGTACCGCAATTCTGTTCTAAGTTCGGAAGCGGAACTACGGTTTCCTTCATTTCGGTTCTAAATCGAGAACTGAAACCGAGAATCGAACAACCCCATTGAACATATAAGAAAGAAGGGGACCAATCGGAAGAACTGTGTAGAACGTGACGGTAGCAGAACAAGAAGGAATTCGTTCTCTAATTAATTGATATTATTCATAAAATTGCTGTGAGTGTTGAAAATAAAATAATAAATAATACGTATCTTGAGCTGTCTTTGTGAGTATGTCCGAGCGTTTGACACAGTTTGGATATCGCCACTTCTCAATAAACTCATATGCAAAGACATTATCAATTTATATAAATGATTTGCTTTGTGTCGAACTGAAAGATCAATTTGCACTTTAGTAAAAGGATGCGCCTCGAGAACGCTCCTAATCAATTCAGATGTGCCTCGAGAGGGAGTCTTAGTATCTCTTTTTTAAAATTTTACATTGACAACATAGAACGATTCGACGGTACTAACAAAATTAAGTCTCAAACTCGTCTATTTGCAGGTGATGTATCACTGTTTTATTCTTATACTGATTCTGCAAAAGTTGCAGAGACTACGAACAATGATTTGAAACATATATAAGTCACACTCAAGATTAGAGCATTTACCATTAGTTGAGGTTAAAAATGAATATTCTGATTCACGATCAGTGATTGAATAAAAAAGAGATGATATTTGCTGTAATGACAGGACAATGGGACAAACTAAATGAGAATTCTCATTCTTACTATTACTACTGTTTTATCGGACAAGGTCACGTTTTATCGATTACAAAATTTGTGTAGGAATGGGATCTTTTTCTATTTGATGATAGAGAAAGGAGTGGAAGTAGTATTTTAATGTGTAATCAATTATTTTTTATGTATCATTTCCTAATTTCCGTTGACAATGGTATTCGGCTTGTCCACGTAAAGCGACACTTCGCTGATCAAGTTTTTTTTTTCATCGCGAAATCGATAGGAGCCCATCACCAGACGTAGTTTTTCACGTTGATCACGAATTCGGCCTTTATTTTGAAAAAAACTGAATTTTCTATTAAAATATTTCGATTTAAAATTTTTCAAATCTTTAATTTTAGTTTTTTGACCTAGAGATTTTCGTAAAATAATTTTGAAAATATACTGTCGAGAATTCAATTCTGTACAAAATAGCTTGTTTCGTTTTGAGAAATACTTCTCAGTCGAGGTACAAGGGCTTCTGGCAAGTTTGAACTTCCTACTCGATTTAGAAGCCTGCGGCACCTTTTGGAACTTTGCTTGCAAGTGGAATATCTTCAGGAAGGCTAGATGTACTCAAGTTGTAAGTATGGAGTTGTTTGAAGAACGATGAGTGCCCTAAAATGGTGTCACAAAAAACGTGTAACAGCGTTACGTTTGTTTTTTGCTTTTTTACGCGGTGAAAATAGTTAGAAGACAATTTTTTTTACCACTGAAAAGCTGATTCGACGCTCTACAAAATTTGCTCTAGGAACATTTCATTTGGAGAACGACTTTCGCAGGAAATTAAAACTTTAGCAAGAGCACTCCGAATTTAGGGTATTTTTATGTAACAGCGTTACGCGATGAAAAAAACTTTCTTGAAGCTCCAGACTTCAACCAAAAAACTTCGTTTTTATAGCATACATAGATGAGCTGCGTCGAATGGCGTTTGAACGAACTTTCTAGCTCTCAAACTTTCTGAGATAATAGAGAAAAAGTGTGCCAAAACGCGTAACAGCGTTACGTTTGGGCAAGCCGTATTACTTATTGAAAATTTTCTCAGTATTGGGTTTAATATATGATCAATTAGAATATTTTTCTTAGCTGATTTCTTTTTTTCCTAATAATGCTATATTCGATCCTCTTATTGAAATATTTCAGAACACTGCGTTTTTTCTTCATCAACCTACAACAATATCTCCTCTTCCTATAATGGGCTCATAGAACAGCTAAAAGATCTTGCCAGTCAGTAGTGATTCTAATGGTCCAAACTGTAAGCTTTAATTTGGTAATTAAGCAATCATTTTAAAGTTAATTTAAGGCTGAATAATTTGCTTTTTACTGAAATACGCCGAAAAACACTTCCGGTTTTTGAAATTCTGTAACGGCCCCTATTTTAACTATAACTTTTGATTCGTTTGTTCAATCAAGCCCAAATTAGTTTTGGTAGTAGAACTCCGAAATATCCATCACTGGTATAAATTTCATCGATGAACTTTGTTTCTTTGCTGAGATAAGAGGCACAGAAGACGAAAAAATGAAATTCCGTAACGTTTGGCCAAGTCGTATGATGATTCGACTGTATTCACTTTAAAACACAATCGGTTGCCATCAAGAATAGAAGAAAGGTTTTGATAATCATTGAAAAGCTTTTTCTTTCTTTTAAAGAAAACCTTTGTTTGTTGAAAGTTTGCCATTATGTAAGTTTCAGAGGCCAAATATTTCTCTGTTTATCTCCTTTGAGGTAAGCAGTCGCTAACAAACAAATCATTAAAATATTTGTCTAACTAAAACTACAAAAATAATTGGAAAGTAATGATTTTCCTAACACGATCAATATCTGAAAAATCATACGAATAATCATAGCAATGTTGCATCAGAAAATCGTTATAAGCTAATTTTATAAACATGAACCAAATTGCTCTGAAATTACGATCTTTGAGCGCTCTTCTTCCAATTATGCATATCAAGAAAGTTGTCCTTTTATAAACCGTAACTGTGTAATATAAACTACATATCAAATCTTCGAAACCCATCAAAAACCGTTTTTTAGATCAGGAACATATTTCTTTCATCCTTTTTCTGCTATTTCTTGACCGTTTTTGGTCGGAAAAACTTACTGTTGAACATGGTGGTAGACCAAACATTTTTCTATACGTTCATGTAAAAATCTTTTGAAAATCTCCGACCAATTTTGAGCCAGGTCCAAAATGCGAAGAGCTCTATCAAAATATCTCTAACCACCCCGTGCGGGATAATTAGAGACATATAATAAAATACTTTCAGTAGTTTCTGTGCATACAATGAATATTGTCGATTTTAAACACATTTTTTTCATTAAAATTATCAAAATAATTAAGCTAGAGTCATTATTAAAAGTCAAATTTCAATCAGGCTGAACGTTTCATATACCTTATACATTTCTCTTCATATTATACCAAAATTTTTTTATAGAACATATGGTTTATGGCCAACATTTCCACTTTGCAGTAGGCATGCACCGGTTATTTTATTGGGGCTGTCCAAGACCAGAGGTTTT